CACTGGAAATCCAGCGGGTGAGGAAACAGGAAGCAGCGTCTAGAGAGAACGCAGCCCTTGGAAGCTGAGTTGAGGGTGTGCTCCCTACAAGAGGGAGGATCAGGGTCTAGCCGGGCTTTAGAGATGGATGAACTCAGCCAGGCGCAGCTGGATGATCTGGTGCTAAAGCGAATCAGGCATGCCAAACAGGGTGTAGAGCGTGTAGGCCCTGATGATCCAGAATTAAAACAGTTTGCACCAGTATGGGACCAACTCGAAATTCGGGGTTTCCGGTTGGTGCGTGTAGCACCAGCAAATTCTGATGCTGCGCGGGTGGTCCAGGTTGTTTTGCCTCGGGTTCTGGTGCCAGAGGTCCTGAAACGGTTACATAATGTCCCCACCGGAGTCCATCTGGGGGTCCAAAAGCTGCAAGGCAAGGTGAAAGACCGTTTTTATTGGCCCGAGTGGTTTAAGGACGTAAGGGCTTGGGTTTGTGAGTGTGCGGACTGTGGCTCGGTTAAAATGCATGGAGGAACACTGCGTGCGCCTTTGGAGGAGTCACTGACCTCTAGGCCCTTTGAACGCATCGCAGTGGATATTTTGGGTCCACTTCCTGAGACCGGACGGAGGAATAAATACATCATGGTAGTGGGTGACTACTTCTCCAGGGGTGGACATTAACTTCAAAACCAACCGGCCAGCCGGGCCGGTAACTCTGAATATTTACCGGCCCTGCCAAGAATCTACCGGCCCCGCTGGTCAGCTGCCAAAACGAGTCAAAATAACAACTGAACCGTTTTAAATGTAATAACCTTTATTTTGTACACATTCACAAACATAATAACGTATTCAAGTTTGAATTTGTTTGTTCCCTCAACAAAACTCGATTTTGTCGTTGCATACTTCCGGCATACAACGCAGTACATCACCAACTCTGCTTTGCTGTACTCGAGCCATTGGCTGTGTTCGAGATGAGCCAGTTCTGCGCAGATTAGACCAGCGGTGATCGGCGAGCAGTGCATGCCGGTTAGATTTGTGTCTGACTTGACGCCGACTTGCTCGGACGTCATGCCTACGTAGGCAACGATAACCTTGTGAGACCAAGGCGGCCGCAGATTTTGGAGCAAGGCGCTGCAGTTGCTCTCTACTGGCTGCAAAAACTAGAGGATAACGGGAAACACCTGGCTCTCACCTGATCTAAGATCTGATTGGTTCATATTTTGATCCAAACATCCGGTGGTAGAGCATGAAATGTTAGTTGTTCACATGTATTCTGTAGATCACGTTACGTTGACAACAATATAGGCCATAAAGAGAAATGTGTTTTGTTTTCTTTTGTCACGTTTCCTATGAGCACACTGAAGCTACAGCTGCTAACCTTTACTTATTATTACAGTCATGTCTCCATATAGAATATATGATATCCACAAGCACGCAATATCTTCAGCCACCGTCACCCCCGAGCTACACATACAGGAAATCCAAGAGATTCAACTGGCAGAAACAACTGGTTCACACCATAGGCTCTCTCTCTCTCTCCCTCCACCCCCACCCCCACCCACACGTAGAGAAAAAGAGCTGAGAAAAGGCAGAGAGGAAATGAAGGACACCAAGTAGTTAAAAGAAAAACTACAACTGAGCCGAGGCGCGCCTCGAAAGGGGCGCGTCACTCTGATCTGAACTGAGGAGCGGCGAGCAGCGGCCGGATTTCGTGAGCGATTCGCTTCTCGGCGCTTCGGGCGCTTCCGCGGCCGGTGTGTCCCCGGCGAAACGCCGGCTTTCAGCCACTCCCCCTGCTGCTTCCGTCTGCTCTCGTCTGTTTTCCAGGCGAGGTGCTGCTCAACTCGAACACGGCCATTCCCTGCGCCTCCCGTCTTCTTTAAACCGCCAAGAATCATTCCACCTACGCACACGCTTCTCTGCTTCATACCGTTTCGAACTGTCTCGCTTCTCTTCACCAGTTTTAAAGCGTTTTGCCGGAGATTTCATCAAGAAATCCCATCCCTGTGGTGGCGCGATCTTCCTGCATGCTTGTGTGTTTCTAGCGTGGTTCCACTTCGTCTTTAATAGTGAACTTATAGTTCACGTGACTATAACTAGAATCATGCAGTACGTGCACGAATCGTACAAGTGCAGTACGTGGCTAGAGGCGCGCAGGTTTACGCACGCGAAACGAAAACGGCGGCTTCCTACAGGGCGGGGCCATGATGTAGGTGAAAGCCGGTGTGTAAATGACAAACAAGGCTTGGGCGCCACCCGGGCGGTAAGTCGTCAAGTATTTACCGCCCGACGAGAAAATTTAGCGCCATTGGCGCTCGGGCGCTTTAAAGGTCCACCCCTGTTCTCTAAATGGATGGAAGCCTTCCCACTCCCTAGTCAGGAGGCTAAAACCATCGCCAGGGTTCTGACCGAGGAATGGGTGTGTCGGTTTGGGGTACCACGGAGCCTCCATTCCGACCATGGGTGGAACTTTGATTCAAAACTATTTCGAGAGCTATGCGGACTCTTGCAGATGCATAAAACAAGGACAACCCCCTATCATCCCCAGTCAGATGGATTAGTGGAGAGGTTTAATCAGACGTTGCTGACTATGTTGATTTTTTTTGTGGAGGACAATCAGCTTAACTGGGATTCCTTGCTGCCATATGTAATGTTAGCCTACAGAAGTAGCATTCACACCAGCACATCTGTCACACCTTATAAGGTTCTTTTCGGGCGAGAGATTGTGCTGCCTGTTGATGTCATGTTGAACCTGGGCAAGGGTGAACTCTTTGCTTCGGTGGACGAGTATGTGACGGGACTGCAGGACACATTGACTACGGTGATAGAGGCGGTGAAACGCCATCAGTGCAGGGCTGCAGCGCAGCAAAAGAGGGCCTATGATTTTAGGGCCACCTGCCAGTTCTACTCGGAAGGTGAATTGGCGTCGGTCCGAAGTAAGCTGGGGAGGCGGGGGGGGGGGGGGGGGGGGGGGGGGTCCCAAGCTTCAGAGATGAGGGGGGGGGGGGGTCCCAAGCTTCAGAGATGATATAAAGGACCATTTAGGGTTCTTGAGCAGGTGACAGACGTGCTGTACAGACTGGTACCCATTGAGGGGGGTCCTGAGAGTGTGATTCACTTCAACCGACTTAAGCCATGCACTTCTCTTCCAACAGTTGCAGCACCGATGGCTGTGGGGTCCAGAGAGAAAGCAGGGCAGAGGCTGTGTCAACAGGATGCCACCTGGGAAGACACCAGCAGGGTTCATCGATGGTCTGCAGAGACAAGCAGTTCTGGTGACGCAAGTGACCCGGCCCCATCACGTGGAGAGGCTGCTCAAGGGGGTGCTGCTGCAGGAGGACGTCTCTCTGGGGAGGTCGACGGACATGGAGCTGCGGAACAACGTGTGGTTCGTCAGCCGGATGCCACCAACCGTCAACCGGATGCCACCTGGTAGGACACCAGCAGGATTGCTCAACGGTTAACAGGGGCAAGTGGTTCCAGTGGCTCAAGCAACCGTGCCCCATCTCATGGAGAAGCTGCTCGAGGGGGTGCTGTTGCAGGAGGATCAAGAGGATGTATCCCTGGGAAGGTTGAGGGACATGGAGCTGTGGAACAACGTGTGGTTCGTCAGAGGAGGTCCCCCGCTTGGTTCAAGGATTATCGTGTGGAAGTCTACGACTCGAGGGCGAGTCCTTCAGGGCAAGAAGGGGGAGAGTGTGAAAGGCAGAAGACGGGAGTTGCCGGATTCTGAGGGCATGGTGTTTGGACACCGGCTGGTCCTTGTTATGGGTAATGAGGCCAGAGAGGACAAAAGGGTGACAGATCTACAGAGTTGGTGTGTGTGGTCGACCTGTCATTGTGGCACCGGATTCTGGGGGGTGGGGTCGTTCGCAGTTGTTTAGGACTGCCGGCGACGAAGATAGTTGAGCAGGTGAGCAGTGTTCCAGCACTAGGAGGGAAGGCTGGACGCCTTCTTTAGGCAGAGAGGGCTGGGAGTAGTTGGGTGCCGAGACCATGCCGACATCTGCCGCCACAGACTCTGGCAGTCGGACTTAAGTTGTGGATTTGCCCGCCGTCCTCGCAAGCTGCACCGTGGGGCGTTGGATGGTGCCGGAAGCTCAGACCCCGGGGAGGGGGTCACATCAACTGGGACAGCTAAGTACCGCTGCTTGTCTTATTTATACTGATCAGCTGGCTTTTAGTGTGAAGGACTAGTGTTTTATTGTTGTCTGTTATTGTTTTACTATTACCGGTGTGAATAATGACTCTTTTGATAAGTTGTTGCCTACTGGTGCTGTTTTCGGGTTCTGGCTGGAGGGCCAGATATTCTGCCCGTGCTCCCACTGAAACTTATATTACAATACTAACACCGTTTAATTTATTTAACTACATCAACTTCCATAAAGTAATACTGAATATTTTATGTGGCCCTTTCATAAATCTATTAGGTTGAAATAATATAAATTTAACTACGGTAGTTCCATACAATGAATAGGTTTTAATATTAATGGAGACAAGTTAATAGTCTTCGGACAAAAAATGTTATGCAACTTATTACTCAGAATCTCGGCGTAACTTACGTTACATAATAACAAAGAATGAATAAATGGTTCCATTTGGTTAAAGCAAATATTAACACGTTGCATCATCAGACGGAGAAGCACGTTTGGCAGTAAACACATTTTTTATATTAACGAATAAGCAGACAACCCGCTGCTGCGGCAGTATGTAGCTGTTTTAGTTCACTAATAACAGCTAACTTGAGAACACAGACAAGGTTTTACATTGACTTCAACCATTAAAACGCTTAAACGCCCGTTTAAAGCGAGTGCTAGTCGTTGGAGAGAGCTAACTCGGCTCTAAGCTTCAGAGTCAAGCAGCTCAGCTAACGTTAGCGGCTGTAACATCTGTCCTTATGCAGATGTTGCGGAAATAGGCGTCAATACTATACCTAACCCTAATACAATAATAGTAGGACTCTTGCAGGTAGCAGCACAGCTCATGGCAGAACAGTATTCTGATAACGTGTTTCTTCTTACCGTAACGTGTTACTGGGGTATACAGGTCAGAATTATAAGGGTCCTCCTCCAGCTGAGGTGCAATAGTAGCTTCGGTCAGCTAGCTGTTTATGAGACAAATGTGTAGCAGATTGTCAACCGATGTTGATGACGGTGTTATGCCGAAAAAAAATCCCCCGGTCACGTGAGTCAGTTGAAAATAGTTGTATCCGCTTTTACACAAAAATAAAGCTTGCATTAATCGATACCCATTAGAACAAAAGTGCATTAAAATAGTTTAATCGCCGTGAAAACTGTGCTTTTATGGCGCGTCGATATGAACTTCCTGTGCTTTTCACGTTAAGGGTTCATTTTTAGGCAAGCTAACCAGACAGGTTCCGTGCTTTGCATGAAAAAAAGGTTCTGAATGTGTATCTAAGGGTATGCTGATTTCAAAATTGCACTCGCATAAATTAATTTCTTCCGTGGAAGAGCAGTACAGATGTATTTATCTTTCACTGTACGGTCTTGACAGCCAATGGCGCCCTCTGAAGGCCTGCGAAAGAAACGCTACCACTGAGATCATAAAGGGTGCAGTGAAAAAATCCTATTCAGATTTCCGGTTTAATCTAATAATTTATCTAATGCAGCAGCAAATGCAAAAATTTTAGACGTATGAGCTGCTTGACTGTTTTGTACAAATAACGGCACTTTCTTTACCATTAAGGACTTGCATCCTTTTTTCTTTATAAGCTATAAAAGATTAACCCTTATTCTGAGTAGCTTTATTCCAACCATGGCAAATAACTAATGGGTTTGCATAAAATGTCTCAACCAAACCAGCAAAAAACTCAACTAGACACTCTGCTTCTCTAACCCATTAGCAACATCATTTTTTGTTGTTATATAGCCATTTTGTTACACTAGGATAAATATGCAGTAAAATGCTTTTCCGTGGGTAAATGTACAAATTTTACTTGCTAAAAGGTTACAATACACAATATAAATGAAAGAGGTGGGACTCAAAATTGAATAATACTACAAAAAAAGGGCTTCAATGGGGCAAAGCACAGCAAAGGTTCAGTCAAGAAGAGCCAACACTGAGCTGAAATCTGTTTATTTCATACAAAATAAAAACAGTGATAAATTGTAGAGCAAAAGACTGCAAAGTAAACCAAAGCATAGTAAATCCAAAAGATGACATCAAACAATGAAATTTAAAACAAAATAAGTTATCGTCTCTTCTGGAAAATGTTGCCTCTCCCCATTCCACCACGACCTCGTCCTCTTGCAGCCACTGTTAAAAGTAAAAATAAAAAGTCAAACTCCAAAAAAAGGTATCTCTTTGGTCTGGAAGAAATGCCCCCCACAAATCCCTATTTTCCCTACTCAAATATTTTGACTATGTTGGACTTCTACAAGAGAAGAAATTAGACAATACCATTAAACATTCCTTTGAAAAAGCCTTTTTTTCCCTTTATATTAGATAAAAAAGAATTGGGATCTGTCTTTCAAACCATTCCACCTCAGAAAATGTGAGAAGTGTCCACATAGAACACTGTTGTTACCTGTAAAAAAAAGTAATTAACAACTATTTAAGAGCCAAGCAGCTAAAGAGGGAACTAAACTCTAGCGCTGTCTCAGCATCTGGAGAAATTGTCCAAATGCTTCTCACTCACCTTGTGCTTTAAGAATAGCTGCCTTTCCTCTTCCTGCCCCAGAGCCTTGGTTCTTGTTCTTCATACTCTTTAACATCGGAGCATTCTTTAACATGTCCGGTAGGATCAAAAAGCGGATCTTGCTGCCGCGAATGTAGACCTGTTCCAATTGTGCAACCCGGCCATCGCGGTAGGTCACGGTGATGTTGGACATCTGTAGGGACAAATTCAAGTTTAGGTCCACAACAGGTGAAATGACCGTGTGAGCATCCATTAATCCAGTTCTGTTACTTATCTGGATCTTGGTGCACACAGGTTACCAAACTAGCATGGCTCAAATGTAAATTAACATTTCAGTTTATTCAACCCTTATAAAAATGTGTGCTGAAATAGAATCCAATTGAAGAGTGATGTTACTTTAGACTGTTTATTAAATTATGATGCAACAGAGTTAAATAACTGACTGAACTGGGTAAATCATGAAAGCTAAAGACCAACTTAAAATGAAAACCCAACATAAAAGCCTTTCTGATAAGAATGCTTTAATGAAACACTTTTACAAAAAAATAAAACTCTTCACACCAAGCATCCATGTACACCATTGTTTGGCCAAACGTTTTGCAATTTAGGGGAACACTAATCCCAAACACAAATTAGTTTACCAGTAATTACACAAACAAAAGCTTTTATGACTACATACCCCACAAAAAATCCACATTAACAGAACACCTTAAATGCCAAATTTACTGACCCAAGTTATTGTGAGTGCACAAAATAAAAATTAAATATTTTTTTTAATTTAACCCATTAAAAAGCTGCAAGAAAGGCAATTTGCAAGAGAAATAAAAACAAAATTTATTCAGGCAGCAGATGGGATTGAAACAAGCACTGACTGGATGTTTATGATCAACAGTATTTTGAAGGCTTTTCATTGACACTTTTCTTGACAATTAAAAATCACTGGAACCCTTTTAAACCATACTGCTAAACAAACCAACCTGGCAGTTCATATTGTCCTCTGCTTCTATCAGCTTGCCCCTGTACACCTCTCCAGTGTTGGTCTCACAGGTCACAATGTGACCCTCTGCCTCATGCAGGACCTTGATTGGTACACCGATGGACATGTTTCAAAGCTTTTCCTGGAACACAACACACAAAGCAAAAGATTATACGTGCTCACCCACAGAAATGTCTGCTCTTAAATATTGGCAACCCAAATCCATTTAACTTTAGTGGTTAGCCGGGTTGCCCAGTTTCCAGCACTGAAATCTACAATCTGCATTACAACTAGTAGGAGAAGCAACAGAATAAGGCGAGTGAACTTTTTCATGACTGTGGATTAATACTAGTCACTGAAATTAAGACAAATAAGGAAAGACGTCCTGGGAAAACAGGTTTTGTGCAAAAAGCCAGAACAAAAGAAGTGTTGTGAACCCGAACGCTACATTAATTGAAACTTTCATGTGGGACATAGTATTTAGACTTAACTAAAATGAAGGTGTTTTTATTATTTAGCATGAATTTACGCAGTAATACACTTTATAACATTACTAGAGAATAAACGATTTCGCTTGGGTATTCTCTTTTTTTAAGAGTCTGGTGGAGAAAGTTTGATAGCATTCTAACCGCTAGCTCAGTTAGCCATACTAGCTAGCAAGGCTACAGGACAAATTTATCTAGAAACTACCATTAAACACTTCCAAACAGTAAAATATGATTGGCCGTAAATGCTATTTACAGTTTACTACGATTAATAAGCATAGTTAAATACCTAAATATTTTACAGTAACATACGGAGTTTTGAAAATGCGCGTAACCTTAGCCATGCTACACATGAACGAAATAAATCGAAATTTCTAAATAACGAAAACCAATAGAAGAATGAGAACTCCGTTTCCTCAAACTAATTAATGTTACTCCTGTAACTTACCTTGACTTGTTCGTAAGAGTTATTTGCTTTATTGTTATTTCTTCTTGAACTGCAACGTGCGTTTGACGCTTTCGGGATCCTTTTGAGCCTTTTTTTCCGCCTGCAACGAAGGGTCACAACGAGTGTTTCCGGTGGCACCTACCGCGATGCATTGTGGGACACGTAGTTCAATAACGCCCATGGTTGAGGACTATTGAGTATGTACAGTCTATGGGACTATTATTTAGTGAAACTGACAAACTCGGCTTCTTATGTAGAATTATTTTTTTATAAAGACTGAAACACATAAAATTAAATAAAATAAAAACTAAAATTATAAGAAACTATTTACATTTTAATCACATGTTTCCTTAATTTATAATCTGTTTTTTACTTGTATTTGTTTTTAATTTTTTATGCTTGAGAAGCACCTCGCGATTTTTATCTTGGGGGCGCTATATAAAAGATTGTTTCATTCTTTCTTCTATAAATGTTGAGTTATGATGGAAATGAAAATTGATTTTCATTCTCCACAAGTAGAACATTGCATTTCTAAGAGGACTGAATATGTGTTTACGTACATCTGACTAAAGTTTAATGAATAAACTTGATTTCCATGATTTTGAAGGAAATCAGCTGTTGACTACATTTTCTGCATCGTCTAATGACGATGGGCAATTTATGCAGCTACACCAGACACTGAACTGTATTGTTTTAAAAAGCAAATGTTGATCCAGTAGCAGGATTGATTTGCATTTTCTTTCAGAAAAATAGAACAGTTTTGCATTACTTGTCATCTTGGCTCCAAGTTGACACTTACAGCTTTACATGGCTTTTCATAAAGCAGCTCAGTGTTAGGTACTTTTTAAATTCCCATGGAACATTGATCCATCATTGAATCACCCACAACAGTATTTTTATGATGTGTATCTCATGCAAATCAAAACAGCATTAGACATAAAAACAAAACATTAAAATGAACTAATTTTATCTATTTTTACAACACTGAGTATGGCCACAGTGTACTGCACAAATGATATGCAAAGAACTAGAATAAACATAAAGTACACATAATATACATACCCGTGTATGTTTGTTCCAGGAGATGTGTCTCGGGGATCGCTACGGGACACATAAAAGTGGCCTAATGCAGGTCTGTCCCACATTGAAAGAGCTTTTTAATGGGGAAAGAGAAGGCATAATGGGATAATAAAAGACATCATCAAATGAATCTTCATTTGATTTCCATTGCATTTGGCTCATTGACTGGCGTCAGCAGCCATGGCTGATCTGTAAACACCTTTCAGTGAGTAGTTTGTGGTTGGGCACTTTACGTGTGTGTGTGTGTGTGTGTGTGTGTGTGTGTGTGTGTGTGTGTGTGTGTGTGTGTGTGTGTGTGTGTGTGTGTGTGTGTGTGTGTGTGTGTGTGTGTGTGTGTGTGTGTGTGTGTGTGTGTGAGTGAGTGAGTGAGTGAGTGTGAGGAATCTTTTTATGATTTTGATGTGTGCAGGCCAGACCCTGAAAGTAGTGGTAGCATCACAGGTAGTAACAAAGTGGAAATAAGTCCTTTGGTTCAGCTGAAACGTAGCTGGTTTGTGTTCATTGGTGACTTCAGATCATAGGTTGACCTGGCAATGACAAATTGTTGCCTGGCTGCAATCTAATCACTGATCAAGCTAGCGACATCATGCTTTCTTAACCCTCCCACTGTCTTTATGGGTGACCCCGCGAGGAAAGTTGACCGTTGAGCAGGATTTGCCCTTGAGGTCCATGTGGCAGGGGTGAAGTGGTGCTCACTCCTCACCCCTGCCACATGGATCCAAGGGATAAACCGTCAACCCTGCTCAATGGTCAACTTTCCTCGCGGGGTCACACCCATTAGGACAATGGCAGGGTTAAGCAATCCAGCCATTTAAGAAGTCGTTAGGCAATAAACAGTTTGTGTGTACCACACGACTAACATCAGAATATAATATATTGGATGTCAAATGTAAGCACTTCATCTAAAACATCATGCTTCAAAATACTTCATTATATCAGGTTTTCAACAGCAATCTAATAACACCTCAGTAATGATATTTTAAGATCTAATGCAGCACTTTAAAAGTCTGGGAAACTCATTTCATCAATGCATTTGCAGTGATCTCTGGTAGGAATGAATGCCTTGCAAGCCATACTAAGGGCAAATAAAAACAAGGAATGCCTGGATCAGCAGGGACAAGTCTGCTACATCAGAGGAGAGTTTAACAGAGGAGAGGATTTGGTCTTATTTCCTGATATTAGGACCTTTTGCCTCAGACGGGATAACAGCAACACAACTCTACTGACTCCGTTTGCCTGGATGTTTTATCACCACAAGCCTGGAGGAGCTTCTGCCGTGTGGTGAAGTTGCTAACGCTAATGGTTAGCTTCTGCAAGCCAAGATGTTTCTGGACGTTAAAACAACAACCTTCCCCGTTGTGAGTCAAGATGGGTGAGTCCATGAATGTTCAGTGAGTGTGACATAGATCTGTCAGGCTTGTGAAATCCTAGCGATTCAACATCTATTTTCCATCTGAAGCTAATGCAAAAGATAGGTGTAGGAGACAATTTTCATGGTCAGCCTGCATAAAGTGACAGATTATACTCAGAAAAAGGCATTATTATTATTATTATTTATTTCAGATTTTCACACCTTTGAGCGACCGCGTTCAATCATTTAAAACGTTAAAATGTGAAAAAGAGGGCAACCAAAAAACCTTCTGAAGTCCCTGCACAATAGTTTATTATTTTTCTGATTTATTTTTACTTTTTAATTACTTTGTACAGCCTATATAAAAGAAAACGTATTATAAACACACCAGTTATTGCTGTACATCATGGCAGAAAACACATGCATCAATTTACATTCAACATTCACTTGCTTGAATCAGTTATTGTGCTTATATGCACAATATCTAACTCAAATATAGAAAACTACTTTGTGACTTCACAGAGAGCGAAACACATTTACTGACTTATTTGTTGACTTTATTTGCCATCATGTTCATATTTCCACAGTGCAGTGTGTGATGATGATGATGAAATTTCATTTGTAAACATGATTATCAGTCAAGAGACTTCTGTGATGTTTGTAGTGCTGGTCTGCGTTTGAGATAGAGCTTGCACATTAGCAAAAATGCTACAGCTTCTTCTATCTTTGAGCTCCAAAACATCCCCCATATACATGGATGAATTTACTGCAGTTTGTGCAGAAACCACCATACACTGGTGATTCTGCACTACTGACAAGGTGTTGCCTTGTTCTTGTGGTCCGCTGGGTATGCTGCTGCAAGGCTTAACTTCTAAATTTGATTCCCAGTTGCTAGAAAGTTCACGTGTGTCTTTTTGTCTAGTTTGGTCAGGACTGGGGTCCATGACACAGCCGTTTACCACCGCGCTAAACGATGAACCCTCTCTATTGGTTCGGGAGGTCCGTCTGAAGCTGTTACTCCCAGCACTTTTGCCATCAGCATTCCAAAACCTGTTACCATGCCCATCCCTCCATCTCAGGATGTGTTGATGAAAAATCTTCCAAAAAGTTTGTCTGAACTCTCGAATGCGGTAGGCATAGATAAAGGGATTCACAACAGAATTAGCATGGGAGAGGATGATGGCAATGTTCATCACCCAGATGTGTGGACGCTCACAGCCCTGGCACATGTGGTTGAAACAGTTGATGATGTGCAGAGGGAGCCAGCAGAGAGCAAACAACCCCACTATTATAGCCAGTGACTTGGCAGCGTGGACTTCCTTCTGCAGAACTGAACGAACTGAGCTAGAAGAGGCAGCCCTCTGTCCAGAAACCGGGACATGTGCGACTTTTATAGTCATGAGTCGGAGCTGTCGCCGTGCCACCATGAAGATGTTGATGTAGATAACCAGCATTATCAGCAGGGGCACCATCACGCAGCCAAAGAAGTTAAAGTACACCATGTAGTTCAGGGTAACTACCTTCTCAAACAAGCACTGGGTCATGCCTTGAGGACAGCCAGTGCTTCCCACCATGATGGCGGTCGAGTTCCACCCTGTAACGAAGACACAACAAATCCCAAATTAGACCATCTGAATCTGTTTAATCACAACAGTAAAGCAAGTGAACATGGTAACACATTTACAGGAAAAGAAAATAGATTAAATGAGTGAAACTCTCTAGAGAGCGCCCCAGCAATAAGAACCCATTAGTAGAACTAAGTTATAAGATTTACCTCCAGATAACAAAAAACAGCCCATTTCTCCATCATTTTGTTCTCAAATGTCACTCAGCGTAGCTCAACTTAGCCCTACCTGGGGACGCGAAAACAAACAATAGGGATATAGGTGGCTCACTTTGAGAAGACTCATCATTCATTGCTTATTCACCAATTTTTCCATAATAATAAATAAACTATTTGACGATGAAAAAAGTGCAGGCCGACACTTGGAAAAATCTGTTGAGATTTGTTCTTTGATTTCTTTGAAGCGTTTTGGGGATTTGTCACAAGCAAAACTGATTTGCAATCCCAATGAGCAACATATGTGAGATCAAAGTAAATGGTATTTAAATTGTTTAATTATTGCAAGTCAGATTAAATAAACCCAAGTAGTGACAGAAGTTTTTCTTTGACTTCTTTTTGAGTACTTTTACTGAAAATGCATGTGAATCTTCTGAAGCGGATGCCTCACTTGTATTCCAACCGAACATGGGAGTCAGGCCGATGCCAACGGAGAGAGCCCAGCACAGTGCTATGATGCCCTTTGCCCTCTGCCCTGTCACCACACTGTTGTACCTGAAAGAACGGGCAACAAGACATTAGGAGACTTTTTAAATTGCTCTGTGACAATGTTCCTCAGAGATATGGCCTGCCTATTTTCAAAAGAAAAATTATTGTGCATTGAAGTCTGATGACGTTGGTTCACGGTAATGAATACATGCTTACCTTGCTTTGTTTGTTGCCTGATAATTAAACTATGAAGCTTTTTTGCTATCAAAATTCCAGTTGTCTTTTGTATAAGTGTGATAAAATATCAGTTACACTATAATGAAGAAATCTGAGCTTCATTCAACTCCCCCGCACACATTAACTGATTCAAGCAGAGCACATGCGCCAACACTATGTGTGGTGCTGCACCCTCTGGAGGCAGAGATGAGAGCTGCCTCTGTTCTCACGGTGCAGCCTCACTGAAACAGTCCATAGATCTGTCAGGCTTTTCAAATCCTAGGGTTTGGCCGTCAATTGTCTGTCAAAAGTTAAACCAGGAGATAGGTATGGGAGACAATTTTCATGTTCAGCCTGCATAAAAAACTCAGAGTGGCAATTTATAATCGGAAATAATCATTAACAATAGTTTCACACCTTTAAAGAATAAAAAATAGTGAAGATTTAGATCCATAAACATTCAAAGGTATTGAGGTTATTTCCTTTTTTCTTAGAATATGTGTGTGTGTGTGTGTGTGTGTGTGTGTGTGCGTGCGTGCGTGCATGCGTGCGTGTGTGTGTGTGTGTGTGTGTGTGTGTGTGTGTGCGTGCAGTTCTAAGCTGTTAAGGAGATTTCTACAGCTGAATGAAGATAAGACTGAGATCCTCATCTGTGCCCCAGACAAGCTGGTTCCCAAAGTCAGAGACTCTCTTGGTCAGCTTGCTTCCCACACCAAACCTTCTGTCAGGAATCTTGGCGTGACCTTTGACCCAGCTCTCACCCTGGATTCTCATGTCAGTTCTCTTGTTCGCTCTTCCTTCTTCCATCTCAGGAACATTGCTAAGCTGAGTCCCATTCTGTCCCACTCTGAACTTGAGACAGTTATCCACACCTTCATCTCCTCACGCTTAGACTACTGTAACTCTCTTTTCACGTGCCTGAGCAGAACCTCCCTGAACCGTCTACAGGTGGTTCAGAATGCCTGTGCTCGGCTTCTGACCAAGTCCGCCAAACACACCCACATCACCCTGCTTCTTCTCCAGCTTCACTGGCTGCCAGTCAACTTCAGGGTTCATTTCAAGATCCTGGTTCTGGTCTATAGGGCCTTACATGGACAAGCACCATCATACATTGGTGATCTTCTCAGTCCCTACACCCCCAGCAGGTCCCTGAGGTCCAGTGATCAAAGCCTACTGGTTGTGCAGCACCAGGCTAAAGACCAAAGGTGACAGATCATTTGCTGCTGTGGCCCCCAGACTCTGGAACTCTCTCCGCCTGAGCCTGAGATCAGTGGACTCCTGCAGCTGAAAACTCACTTGTTGAAGCTGGCTTTTACATGACCTTCGATTGATTATTCATCAATACCTTCTCCTCATTCAGCTCTTTCTACCAATTCTCTTCCCTCAAAAGAATCTCTGGTACGCTGAGAGTCTATGTCCATATAAAGAATGTAATATAGGCAGAAACAAGACCTTTTTAGGGCTCCCTGGGTGTGTAAATTGAGAGTTTCCAGTGGAGCCAGTCACCTTTTCAGGTGAGCTGGGCTCCCCTTAGCTCCCCTGTAATTCAAACCTTGTTCATAGGTAGTGTCAGCTCGTTAAGCAACAACAGAAAGCTACAGCTTATAAGCTTGACTCTCCCATATTCCAAATCAGAATTGACAAATCTCCTTAGATGAGAAACAAAACGTCTTCAAGAAACCAAAGAAGTCCAATTGCCTTCAGTAAAACTCCCTTGGATCACCATGACCAGGATGACTGAGAACCTTCACCAGCAAACAGTTGTTTAATGTTATCCTTTTATTTACTCTGATGTGAATCTGTCCCTGTTTTTGACTGGATCCTGTTTGGACGGTTTATCAGCATGTTTTACCTCCAGGGTTCGGAACACAAAAACACAGTGAAGTTGTTGTGTTGACGCTTATGCAAATTCACCACACGCTCTGACTGAGTACAAAAAAATAATGTAGTTAATTTTAAGCGCAGCTGAACCAGACTGGTTCCAAAAGTTGTTTAAGGCACACAGGTAGCATTTCACTGATGTTGATTAGGATCACAGATTTTTAAAAAGTTGCTTTAATTAAACGAACACAACTAATTCAGTTAAATTCATACTCAAACTTATAATTCTGTGTTTCTTCTGCAAACCTCTAGCTTGAGTGCATCTCATTCAAATGTTTTGTGCTAAAAATATTTGACTTCTTAAATAACTTTACTTCCTCAGCCAGTTCCCAGAAAGACTTGCACATATTCAAAGATGCTTATATTTGGAAATTAGTGACTTTTTTATTTTGTTTGTTCTTGACACTCACCTAAGGGGGTTCTTGATTGCAATGTAGCGGTCCACGGCGATAGCCAGCATACTGAAGATGGAGCTTTGAGTGAGCACGAGGACAAAGCAGGCAATGAATAAGCAGCCGTAGAAATCAGCACAGAAACCCACGCTGATAACGACACAAAAAAGGAAACATCCCCCATTAGATGTAAGAAATCATCAGTAAGTCTGATCTTGTAATTTAATATTTCGGTGGCACAACATTAACCCCAGCCCCAAATTCAATAAGACGGAAATTATACCTAATTGTGATTGCAAAAGGAATCGCCAGCAGCCCCACAGCAATATCAGCCACAGCCAGTGAGACCACGAAGAAGTTGGTGATGCTCTGCAGGTTGGAGTTGAGGCAGACGGACCAGCAGACCAGGATGTTCCCAGTTACAGCCAGGAGAGCAATCAGCAGCTCCAAGCTAATGTAAACCACCTGATAGTTCTTCAGCAGGGATGTTTCTTCCCTCATTTTTGCCTGTTTTGTTCTTTCATCCCACACATTCAGCTGCTTGACTTATTTTTTGACAAAACACCCATTCACCGTACAACATGGTAACGCTTGAGAAATCAGTGATTGTGTCATAGAGGGTTGGCTGGAGCAGGAAGTTTCTATTGCAGGTTGACTTCACTGATGCATTTTACTGTCACAAGTGTAAAATCAGTCTGCTGATCTTCCTCTTTTTAAACAGCAATGGCGTCTGGTTGTTGGTTGAGTGAACTCACAGACAGACGGAAGTGGAA